TGTTGACGTGGTCGCATCTTCAGGATGCTCATCGGCTAAAACTGAAAACAATTTTTTATAATCGTTGAGTCATTTTGATCCGTTTTTAAATTTTTTTTCAATCATTCCATTATCAATTCCATCTTTATCATGGGTTTCACAGTTTATAAATGTAACCAATATATTTTTTCATTCAATAAATAAGGTACACCAATTTCGAATTTTTAATGTAGCTAGTAAAAACTGTATCAATCGTACTACTATATTTTGTAGATGGTATATTTCTTTAATTTTTAATTTCAAGGTTAAAAACTTCCCAAAGAAGTGGAGCAGATTCCAATTTATTAAAATCTGTAGTGAAATCACCAGCTAGCAGGCATTCGCGAGTATATTTCTTGAGAACGAAAAGGTTCAACTTCATTGATCGACGAAATCGTGAAGGTATTACAATCGAAATTTAGTATCATATTAACATATTTTGAAGGTCATAGACTCACTTAGATTTATTACTATATTTTATTTCCCGTCAGCGAAAATTATGCTAAAATCATAATATATTGAGTTGATATGAAAAACTTCAACCAAAGACTTTAATATTAATATTAAGAGGTCGCGCATCGCAGATTTCTATTTCCCATTTAAATAACACGGAAAAAATTTTGCAACTCTGAACCGGTTTAACGGACTATTGAACCATATAAGAATATTACTTATAAGAAATTTGACGCTCTACAAAAAAAACTTAAAAAAATTACAAAAAAAAAGATCAGTAAAAATTAAAGAAACATTTTTCCATGTTATTTAAATGGGAATAAGAAATCTGCGATGCGCGACCTCTTAATATTAATATTAAGTGCTCTGATTTTCACAGGCGTTTTTATACATTTCCACAAAAGTTTTTACGTGAGGATTTCAAAAAAAAAAATTAAATATTTTTTTTGAATCAGCCTACTTTAATAATCTTAAAGTCAACCGGAAGTTCGAAAATCTTTGCATTAGGTATAGGAAAATTATTGAACCGATGGTATCCAGTTTTGGCATCACGATATACTCTTAATATTTCGATTCGTTTCATAATAAATAAACAAAGTAATAGGACATTTTTATACAACAGGCAACATGTTGCTACAGAGTATAAAAGTTTTGTTCAGCTAACGGTTGATTGTATCACCTAAAAATAATCGAGTTAGATATTTTACATCTAATATACAATATAAAATTCTCGTGTCACGGTGTTTGCTACCAAACTCCTCCGCAACGGCTGGACCGATTTTGATGAAATTTGGTGTGCTTATCTGGGTAGGTCTGAAAATCGGCATCTATTTTTCGTACCCATAAATGTTAAGGGTGGTTTGACCCCAAATATTACTTTTTTCTTTTTTTTTAACAAAATTTTTTGTTTAGATTTTTTCACGATTCAGTATTGAAAAATACATACAATTCCAAATGTTCANCCTTATACGATCAACTCCAGAGTTGATTCAAGTAGTGGTACATTTTTCAATAGCCATTTTTTGACAGAACATGCGTGAGCCGTGTCAAGGTGTCATGTTATTTGTTATTTTTGTTCAGTATTGTTTGACATTTCTGTAAAGATTGTGTGTTCGCGCGCTTAGCGTACTATTCGCAACACCATCACCCATCTTGAGACCCAGCATTCATTATTGGATTACGTCTAGTACGAAGTGAAGAAAATGAAGCGGCCGTAGCTGAGAGTGTACACGAAGACCGTGGAGAGTCGATTCGGCGCCGTTCGCAGCAACTCGGACTGACGTATGAAACGACATTTTAAGTCGAGATCTTAAATTGAAAGCGTACAAAATACAGCTGTTGAAAGAACTGAAGTCGCTCGACCTACCCAAGCGACAACGCTTTATGGGCTCTTTTCTGGCTCAATGGGCATGTAAACAAGCAAAATTGCCGTATTTGGGACAAAGGGCAACCTGAAAAGATTCAAGATCTGCCATTGGCCGCTGGAATCATCGGTCCATATTTCTTCAGAAGTGATGCCGGTGGGAGCGTAACCGTCAATGGCGACCGTTATCACGCCATAATAACCGACTGTTTGATGCTTGAAATTGAAGATCGTGATCTCGGCGACATTTGGTTTGAACAAAACCGCGGCATTTCCCACACACCACATCAATCAATGGATTTAGTGAGAGAACACTTCGGTGAGCAGATAATTTCACGTTTTGGACCGGTCGATCCGGTCGGTTTTCTCGTAGAGATATGTAAAGTCTAAAGTCTATGCGGACAATCCTGCTTTGTTTCAGGCCTTGGAGCAAAACATCACGTGTGTCATCCGCCAGTTACCAGTCGAAACTCTCGAACTAGTTATCGAAAATTGGACTCAACGGATGCACCATCTGAAACGTATCGGCGGCCAACATTTGACAGAGATAATCTTCAAGAAATAAATGCAAAAAAATTTTCTTTCAAATGATAATAAACACATCCAATTAAATTTGAATTTTCTGTGTTCTTTTCTATAAAAAAGTAGGGAACCTCGAAATGGACCATTCTATATTATTCCGATGTATGCACAGATCCCCAAGATGACAATATTATAATTGTAGTATACTATAATCTGCATGTATATTGTAGAAAACATTACGAAGTAGGAATGAAAACGAAGCCGCCTTCATTTTTCTCACTCTTTATAGAGTTTTCGTCCATTTTTTCTTAAGTCTTATTTGTGTCTCGATCGTAGCAGTGACTGTTATTTGTGTCGTTTTTTCATTGCAACTCTTAAGTTAATTTTGTTCTCATAGTGAACTTAATATTATTTCTTTGTGCTAAAAATATCGATATCACAGACAATGACATTAACAATCGTTGGGTGGTACCATATTCATATCTGTATGTAAATAAAACAAGTGAGTTGTCATTCAATTTTCTCGAATGTTTTAGGCTGGTTTGGGATCTCATAATTTATTTTAATAAGTGGAGAAGTAATCTTCAAACTAATATTTTCCACTTACAAAGTTATACATATATGAAGTGTGTTCAAAGAAAAAGGTGAACTTTGAATTTTTTTGAAAAGTACTTATTTATTCATCAATATCTATTTTGTCCCCTTCAAAGTAGTCCCCCTCGGATATAATACACTTGTGCCAACGCTTTTTGCAACCCTCGAAGAACTTCTGAAATGCGCTTTTCGGAATGGCCATCAACTCTTTCTTCGACTTGATCTCATCAATTGTGGCAAAATGCTTTCTTTTCATTGGTTTCTTCAGTTTTGGGAATAATTAAAAGTCGCAGAGAGCCAAATCTGGTGAACACGGTGGTTAAGGCATGATTATGGATTGATATGCCAATATCCTCTGCATTTTCCTTAGTAGGGATTTTCAAGAACAATTTTTTTCACTGTTCACATGATTACGGGTTTATGTTGGCCAAAAAATCACGAATAAGCATTGATATGTGATCTGGTGCATTATCGTGATGCAGAATCCACGATTTGTTTTTCCAAACAAGCCTAAAACATTCGAGAAAATTGAATGACATGAGCCGATTGATATGCCAACATTCTCTGCAACTTCCCTAACAGTGATTCGACGATTTTCAAGAACAATTTGTTTCACTGTTTCGATGTTTTCTTCGCTTGTTGACGTGGTCGCATCTTCAGGATGCTCATCGGCTAAAAACTAAGTACACTGTTTATTTACTTCACTGAATTATTTTCAACTTCAACTCCTTCTACTTCAACTTTTACCACTAAGGAAAAGTAAGTAAAAGCATGAGTATGTACGCAGTATCTTAAACTATATGTTTATGATAACTAAAATAAGAAACATAAGTTTGAGACTTGATATCCTCTAAATATCTGGAAAATACCGCGTCAATGGTGGCCCCATCTTTTGTTGTGGATTCTTGTGGATTATTATTCATTATATACATACATGGTATAGCGCCGCATTTCTTATATATACATATAAAGATCTTTTCTTGATTTTCATCCTGAAGACACCACTCATGATAACATAACACACCACAACTATATGTACATCACCCCACAATAGCAAGAAAAAAGATAGAGTACTCGATTTCGCTCTCTTCCGTCAAATCGACAACGAGTGTGCACCCACCTTTTCGCTATAAAGTCAATTCGATAAGCCGCTTATCTGTAATTTATTTAAAACTTTTTATGAGTTACAATAAAGCCACCAGCATATTATCTAATATATACGAATTTACTGGGGATTGCTCTTTTACAAGGTGGATGCTGAGTGCTAAAAATCAGTAAGTCTCGCAACCTGCTGTTACAGAGTATAGTATTCAGATGTTGGAAAAACTTTATATTAAGAAATGTAATATAATATCTTTAACTTCATTGTTTGACGAAATGGTGAATGGATTGCAATCAAATTTGGTATCATATTAACTTATTTTGAAGGTCATAGATTCAATTATTATACTCTCGCAACCTGTTGCTACAGAGTATAATAGTTTTGTTCACCAAACGGTTGTTTGTATCACCTAAAACTAATCGAGTTAGATATAAGACTTTAATATTAATATTAAGAGGTCGCGCATCGCAGATTTCTATTTCCCATTTAAATAACACGGAAAAAATTTTGCAACTCTGAACCGGTTTAACGGACTATTGAACCATATAAGAATATTACTTATAAGAAATTTGACGCTCTACAAAAAAAACTTAAAAAAATTACAAAAAAAAAGATCAGTAAAAAAAAATTAAAGAAACATTTTTTCCGTGTTATATAAATGGAAAATAGAAATCTGCGATCCGCGACCTCTTAATATTAATGGCTCTGATTTTCACAGGCGTCTTTTTACATTACCACGAAAGTTTTTACGTAAGGATTTCGAAAAAAAAATAACATTTTTTTTTTAATCAGCCTAATCTATATTTTACATCCCGCCAGCGAAAATTATATTAAACTCATCTGCAAATGAAGACATATTTATTATTATAATATTATATATTATATTATAGTTTATGAATTCATTGCAAACGTGTTCACCTAATTTCATTTATACTTGTATCACACATTTTGACCCACTTAAACGTTTTAAAATCAGCGTTTTATATCAGAGAAATGTAATGGCTGATTGCATTAATTTTGACATTGTTCAGATTTATTTCAGACCTTATTTTCAAGAAATTGTATCTAATATATCTCGTGTCACGGTGTTTGCAGCCAAACTTCCCCGAAATGGCTGTGCCGAGTTTGATGAAAATTGGTGTGCTTATCTGGTGGGTATGACAATCGGCCAAAATCTATTTTTTTACCTCTATTATTATCATAATTTTATTTTTTGGACAAAATTTTTTGGTTTTATTTCTACATGATTCAAATCGAAAAATATATGCGAAATTTTCGCCCTTATACGATCAACTCCAGAGTTGATTCAAGTAGTGGTACATTTTTCAATAGCCATTTTTTGACAGAACATGCGTGAGCCGTGTCAAGGTGTCATGTTATTTGTTATTTTTGTTCAGTATTGTTTGACATTTCTGTAAAGATTGTGTGTTCGCGCGCTTAGCGTACTATTCGCAACACCATCACCCATCTTGAGACCCAGCATTCATTATTGGACTACGTCTAGTACGAAGTGAAGAAAATGAAGCGGCCGTAGCTGAGAGTGTACACGAAGACCGTGGAGAGTCGATTCGGCGCCGTTCGCAGCAACTCGGACTGACGTATGAAACGACATTTTAAGTCGAGATCTTAAATTGAAAGCGTACAAAATACAGCTGTTGAAAGAACTGAAGTCGCTCGACCTACCCAAGCGACAACGCTTTATGGGCTCTTTTTCTGGCTCAATGGGCATGTAAACAAGCAAAATTGCCGTATTTGGGACAAAGGGCAACCTGAAAAGATTCAAGATCTGCCATTGGCCGATGGAATCATCGGTCCATATTTCTTCAGAAGTGATGCCGGTGGGAACGTAACCGTCAATGGCGACCGTTATCACGCCATAATAACCGACTGTTTGATGCTTGAAATTGAAGATCGTGATCTCGGCGACATTTGGTTTGAACAAGACCGCGGCATTTCCCACACACACATCAATCAATGGATTTAGTGAAGAGAACACTTCGGTGAGCAGATAATTCACGTTTTGGACCGGTCGATCCGGTCGGTTTTCTCGTAGAGATATGTAAAGTCTAAAGTCTATGCGGACAATCCTGCTTTGTTTCAGGCCTTGGAGCAAAACATCACGTGTGTCATCCGCCAGTTACCAGTCGAAACTCTCGAACTAGTTATCGAAAATTGGACTCAACGGATGCACCATCTGAAACGTATCGGCGGCCAACATTTGACAGAGATAATCTTCAAGAAATAAATGCAAAATTTTCTTTCAAATGATAATAAACATCCAATTTAAATTTGAATTTTCTGTGTTCTTTTCTATAAAAAAGTAGGGAACCTCGAAATGGACCATTCTATATTATTCCGATGTATGCACAGATCCCCAAGATGACAATATTATAGTTGTAGTATATTATAATTTTCTTATATAATTCTATCAATCAATCATTTATTCCCCAGGTGTTTCCCGTGAAAACGAAGTCGGCTTCCTTTGTCTCAGTCTCTATACAGTTTTCGACCACTTTTTTTTTGTCTTATTTGTGTCTCGATCGGAGCAGTGACTGTACAGTGACGTATCATTTTAATTTTTGCAACTCTATAGTTAATTTTATTCTCTTAGTGAAATTAACACTATTTCCTTGTGCTAAAAATATCGATATCGCAGATATTCGTTGGGTGGTAATATATTCACCTCTGCTAAGCAAAATATTGAGTCCACATAATGCCATAACAATCAACATATTTTAGAGGATTTCTCGATAATTAGTCTTCTTGTACAATTTAAAAGTATAGATACAAAAATAAATACAAACATTCATATGTTATACATACGAGGTGTGTTCAAAGTAAAAGGTGAATTTTGAATTCTTTTGAAATGTACCTATTTATTCATTTATGTATATCTATTTTGTCCCCTTCAAAGTAGTCCCCCTCGGATATGATACACTTGTGCCAACGCTTTTTGCAACCCTCGAAGAACTTCTGAAATGCGCTTTTCGGAATGGCCATCAACTCTTTCTTCGACTTGATCTCATCAATTGTGGCAAAATGCTTTCTTTTCATTGGTTTCTTCAGTTTTGGGAATAATTAAAAGTCGCAGAGAGCCAAATCTGGTGAACACGGTGGTTAAGGCATGATTATGGATTGATATGCCAATATCCTCTGCATTTTCCTTAGTAGGGATTTTCAAGAACAATTTTTTTCACTGTTCACATGATTACGGGTTTATGTTGGCCAAAAAATCACGAATAAGCATTGATATGTGATCTGGTGCATTATCGTGATGCAGAATCCACGATTTGTTTTTCCAAACCAGCCTAAAACATTCGAGAAAATTGAATGACATGAGCCGATTGATATGCCAACATTCTCTGCAACTTCCCTAACAGTGATTCGACGATTTTCAAGAACAATTTGTTTCACTGTTTCGATGTTTTCTTCGCTTGTTGACGTGGTCGCATCTTCAGGATGCTCATCGGCTAAAAACTAAGTACACTGTTTATTTACTTCACTGAATTATTTTCAACTTCAACTCCTTCTACTTCAACTTTTACCACTAACTTCATATGTATATACCCTGGGTCTTACAGTTGATAAATATAACTTATATTTTATGATAACTAAAATAAGCAAACATTAGCATAAATACTACCTAGTAAAAACTGCATCGATCGTAGCACCGTGTCCTGGGTTGGTATATTTCTTTAATTTTGCATTTCAAGATTAAATACATATATATAATTGGCTATATATGCCTAAGTCGCCACACAAACCTATTCACACCACGATTATACACTCAATATCTGAAGACACCACTCATGATAACATAACACACCACAACTATATGTACATCACCCCACAATAGCAAGAAAAAAGATAGAGTACTCGATTTCGCTCTCTTCCGTCAAATCGACAACGAGTGTGAACCCACTTTTTCGCTATAAAGTCAATTCGATAAGCCGCTTATCTGTAATTTATTTAAAACTTTTTATGAGTTACAATAAAGCCACCAGCATATTATCTAATATATACGAATTACTGGGATTGCTCTTATACAAGGTGGATGCTGAGTGCTAATAAATTATGTGAATATTAATGGTCCTTTCAAGTATTCAGTGCGTGGAGAAGATTATTATTATTTCTAGAGAATGAAAATTTTTCAATTTCATTCTTCGACAAAATCGTGAATGAATAACAATCAAATTTACTAATATTAACATATTTTGAAGGTCATAGATTCGCTTAGTTTTACATCTATATTAGGCTGATTCAAAAAAAATATTTAATTTTTTTTTCTCCTCATGTAAAAACTTTTGTGGATATGTAAAAAGACGCCTGTGAAAATCAGAGACTTTAATATTAATATTAAGAGGTCGCGCATCGCAGATTTCTATTTCCCATTTAAATAACACGGAAAAAATTTTGCAACTCTGAACCGGTTTAACGGACTATTGAACCATATAAGAATATTACTTATAAGAAATTTGACGCTCTACAAAAAAAACTTAAAAAAATTACAAAAAAAAAGATCAGTAAAAATTAAAGAAACATTTTTTCCGTGTTATATAAATGGAAAATAGAAATCTGCGATCCGCGACCTCTTAATATTAATGGCTCTGATTTTCACAGGCGTCTTTTTACATTACCACGAAAGTTTTTACGTAAGGATTTCGAAAAAAAAATAACATTTTTTTTTTAATCAGCCTAATCTATATTTTACATCCCGCCAGCGAAAATTATATTAAACTCATCTGCAAATGAAGACATATTTATTATTATAATATTATATATTATATTATAGTTTATGAATTCATTATATTAGCCACAATATAATTTTACAACTTTTAAAAAAACGTGTTCACCTTATTTCATTTATACTTGTATCACACATTTTTATCCACTTAAACGTTTTAAAATCAGCGTTTTATATCAGAGAAATGTAATGGCTGATTGCATTAATTTTGACATTGTTCAGATTTATTTCAGACCTTATTTTCAAGAAATTGTATCTAATATATCTCGTGTCACGGTGTTTGCAGCCAAACTTCACCGAAATGGCTGTGCCGAGTTTGATGAAAATTGGTGTGCTTATCTGGTGGGTATGAGAATCGGCCAAAATCTATTTTTTTACCTCTATTATTATCATAATTTTATTTTTTGGACAAAATTTTTTGGTTTTATTTCTACATGATTCAAATCGAAAAATATATGCGAAATTTTCGTCCTTATACGATCAACTCCAGAGTTGATTCAAGTAGTGGTACATTTTTCAATAGCCATTTTTTGACAGAACATGCGTGAGCCGTGTCAAGGTGTCATGTTATTTGTTATTTTTGTTCAGTATTGTTTGACATTTCTGTAAAGATTGTGTGTTCGCGCGCTTAGCGTACTATTCGCAACACCATCACCCATCTTGAGACCCAGCATTCATTATTGGACTACGTCTAGTACGAAGTGAAGAAAATGAAGCGGCCTTAGCTGAGAGTGTACACGAAGACCGTTGGGAGTCGATTCGGCGCCGTTCGCAGCAACTCGGACTGACGTATGAAACGACATTTTAAGTCGAGATCTTAAATTGAAAGCGTACAAAATACAGCTGTTGAAAGAACTGAAGTCGCTCGACCTACCCAAGCGACAACGCTTTATGGGCTCTTTTCTGGCTCAATGGGCATGTAAACAAGCAAAATTGCCGTATTTGGGACAAAGGGCAACCTGAAAAGATTCAAGATCTGCCATTGGCCGATGGAATCATCGGTCCATATTTCTTCAGAAGTGATGCCGGTGGGAACGTAACCGTCAATGGCGACCGTTATCACGCCATAATAACCGACTGTTTGATGCTTGAAATTGAAGATCGTGATCTCGGCGACATTTGGTTTGAACAAGACCGCGGCATTTCCCACACACCACATCAATCAATGGATTTAGTGAGAGAACACTTCGGTGAGCAGATAATTTCACGTTTTGGACCGGTCGATCCGGTCGGGTTTCTCGTAGAGATATGTAAAGTCTAAAGTCTATGCGGACAATCCTGCTTTGTTTCAGGCCTTGGAGCAAAACATCACGTGTGTCATCCGCCAGTTACCAGTCGAAACTCTCGAACTAGTTATCGAAAATTGGACTCAACGGATGCACCATCTGAAACGTATCGGCGGCCAACATTTGACAGAGATAATCTTCAAGAAATAAATGCAAAAAAATATTCTTTCAAATGATAATAAACACATCCAATTAAATTTGAATTTTCTGTGTTCTTTTCTATAAAAAAGTAGGGAACCTCGAAATGGACCATTCTATATTATTCCGATGTATGCACAGATCCCCAAGATGACAATATTATAGTTGTAGTATATTATAATTTTCTTATATAATTCTATCAATCAATCATTTATCCCCCAGGTGTTTCCCGTGAAAACGAAGTCGGCTTCCTTTGTCTCAGTCTCTATACAGTTTTCGACCACTTTTTTTTTGTCTTATTTGTGTCTCGATCGGAGCAGTGACTGTACAGTGACGTATCATTTTAATTTTTGCAACCCTATAGTTAATTTTATTCTCTTAGTGAAATTAACACTATTTTATTGTGCTAAAAATATCGATATCGCAGATAATCGTTGGGTGGTAATATATTCACCTCTGCTAAGCAAAATATTGAGTCCACATAATGCCATAACAATCAACATATTTTAGCGGATTTCTCGATAATTCGTCTTCTTGTACAATTGCTCACTCTTGAGTTCAATCACTGGATTGTTTTATATATGTCTAAGTTTTATGGCATGCACTTATCTTTATTTCTAATTCTAACAACTTAACACTTATTGCTCGCTATTGGAGTTTACAACTAATTGCCTATAATTTAATTGTTTTTTACATGGCAACACTCTAATTGGAACTGTGTCTGCTGCACAATTCGGCAGTCCCTATTAGTAAATCTTTAACAAAAGTTCCCTACTAGAATATTCTGGCAACTACGAATTCGCTTTCTAGTTGCTTCTGGCAGCTTATCGTCGATTCTGATTTGTTCTGGTATTCGTGTTCGCCACAATATTAATGTTGAGTTCCGCAGTTCGACGAAAAGCATCAAATATACATATTTGCAAGTATGTGAACAAGGGAAGTGAATTTAAAATTGAAAAGACTGATGTAAATGCATTTTGCTGGCATTTTTGGCAGGACAAGGGGATTCTTTTTTGTTTTTTTGGACACACAAAGTGAAACTAGAAAAATATTATTATTTCAATACATGTTGCTGAGATACGATCAAACATCGCATCACATTGGCGGTAGCATCATCTGGCATTAGAGCTAATTTATAAGATGGAGACAGAACAGCTCACTCAGAACTTAAGCAGCCTTTAAACATTAAAATAACATAGACTAATAAGATAAAAAAAATTATCATCCATGTCCACAGTGCTGAAACAGTATAAAAGTATCAATTATATATCCAAAATGGTACTATGGCACACAAATATTGGCTTGGGGGCCTTGGATAAGATATTAAAAGATATAAAAAAAATCAAATATATTTGGCAGCACTTTGTTACTTCTTTCAGGTGGTTTCAAACCCTTTCAACGTATGTACGCGGCAACTGACAGTGAACATGTACGTTCACATGCTTCAAGATCCATCAGTTATTGGCAATAAAAAATTTGCCGTACATGAAAATACTAGATGCATAACAATACCGACTTATTTCTGCACAATCATCAACTCACTAAATACTCTCAATATATTTCCCAGTGTACACAGAAAATGTAGAAATCTTGAATGATTGGAAGAAAGAGCGATTTTGGCAGTAAAAAATGTGGACTTCAGTGGATTAAATTCAATGATACAACAGTTGTTGCCAGGGGACTAGGTATCATACATATAAATCGGCGCCAAGGAAGCTGTGAATTATCCAATTAACTTTTAGAATTCATTGGATATGGTGGGAACTGATTTGGGTTTCGCGTTATTTTGCTTCATAATCTGGGTTTTGCAGTTCTGCAATGGTAATTAGTAATAAAAAAATTAAGAAAAAACATATTCGAAGCCAATTTTGAATGGCAAGTTCCGAGACGAAAATGTATTGCTGCCACGAATTCTTTCTACAGATGTGGCAATTGAATTCAAACGCTCTCAATTTCCAATCAATAAGCATTCGCAATGATGATCAATAAGTCACAAGAACAAACGATGCCTGTTTGCATCATAGATTTGGGTACACCATGCTTTATCTACGGACAGCTTTATGTGACATGTTCTCGTGTGGGCAAACCAACCAGTGTATTTGTATTCGCTAAAACTTACTGGTCAGATATATGGTTGTTAGTTGAGAGATTATTCTTTGTTTATTTTTATTTGCCATAATAATTATTTCGATGTATAGATAACTACCAATAACTGTCAATACAAATACTACTAAAGAGTCGATATATGGCGGATATGAAAAGGGGTTTCACTTACATAATTATATTGAGATTTTCTTTCTTTTACGTTGATTGTGATCTTCTTTCTTCCTCCTTGGTTGCGATCTTCCTTCTTCCACGTTGATTGTAATCTTCTTTCTTCCTCGTTGGAATGGCAATTGGCGGATTAATGATTCAGTACTTTTCACAAGCTGTTCTTTCACGTTGGGCGCCAGTTATTTTTTTATTATCGGTTACTGTTACTTTATTCGGTAGCAACGGTGTTGTCGACCACCGCGGAATTATGTTTGAATATTTATGTGCGTTGTGAGTGGTAGCGACGGTGTTGTCGACTACCCACGAACTATTTAAATATTATTCCGTTTATGCGATAGCGACGGTGTTGTCGACTACCACGGAATTATGTTATTTTAAATAAACACAATTTGAGTTCCGTTCTAAAACTGTTTTATTAAAATTCATTTCCCTTATTTATAACCTACTATTACTATTGCCGCTACTGCCATTGACGCTGCTTTTCTAAATTTCTGCTGACGCCTAAGCTTGTGTAAGTCATTGCGTTACATCCGCAGGTCACACGGTCGGTGGCTACTGCATGGTGTTGAATTGCGGCTGTCCGTCATACAGTTCATTTGAATCATGCGCGATCAATTGCAGTTTTGGCAGCTCAAAAGATTAGCTTAGTTAACTTTTGTTAACTTATACACGAAAATTAAAGACTTTCTTGTTTTTTTTTTTTTTAATTTTATTCGAAACTCTTATATACACATAGCCAATAAAGTCTGCGTTCACCCGACACATTTTTTTAAGTGATTATGTTAAAATTTTCTGCATGTATTTCTTCTGTATATTCTTAAGTTCAAAATGCAAATACAAAAATGTATATTCCTATTTTCATTTTTGTGATAACGGGATTTTATTGTAAGAACAAGTACACATGACACCATTACGTCTGCGTTCAGTTAGCTTGAATTGGAAATGCCGTTACTTCTCATGAATTTTTTCGTTCTTTTTGCGTAGATTCTATTGTGTTTTAATATAATTAGTCGTTTTATATTTAAAAAAATGGAAACCAACGGAAAAGAAATTAGTCTAAATTATTAACTAATTATCATTAAGTTGTGGAAAGATGGCGAAAGTTTCAGAAAAATTGGGAAAACTATTGGAAGAACGTATTCTTCTGTCCAGCACGTCGTAAATAATTTAAAAAAAACGAAATTTTAACGTCAAAACCGCGATCTGGCCGTCCGAAAATATTATCAGCCCGGGAAGAACGGAGAATAATAAGTATGGTGAAAGTTAACCCTCGAATTACGTCCACAAAGATTATTGAAAACGTAAATACAACCATTAAAAATTTTGTGCCGAAACTGCTAAAAAAACTTTACGAAAACTTTTTTTACTGAGTAACAATAAGTAAGCTAAAGGCACAATAACAATTAAAGTTAGAATCTACAGCAAAAAGACAAAAATACAAACATACATATATATACATTCAATCAGCAAACAATATGCAAATTGCATTTACCGATAAATCTTATAACTAAACATTCACTTATATTTTTACATACATAATTATATCCGAATATACAATACTAACATAAGCGCAGTCGGTAAAATACGTGCGTATAACAATTTTTATTTTTTTCTCCACACTCTTCTATCACGCCTTAAAATATCACGCGTGCACAGTCATACATATACACACTTGTACATACGCACAGGGCTAGCTTAAGCTACTGTGGGGGTCAGCAGGTGGCGGATAGCTGAACGGCCTCCGGATATGTAGGTTAGGCGAATATCCCAATAAGCAGTCCCCGACCAAAGCAGCAGAGATGGAGAGTGTAGCTTAAAAGGCTATATATACCCGATGAAGTCTATGTGATGGGGTGAAATGACACCGCCCATAACTAAGTGTCTAAACAACAAAAATCCAGGGAGTGGCTGACTCAAATTGAGCGGCTCACTGGGCAGCGTCTGTCCCCAGGTTAGGAGCGGCTGAATCGTTACCTATCAGTAGGTATAAAATGATATAGGTAGGGTCCCAGAAAATAAGCCATGACAAGTAAAACAGAGAGTAAAATTACGGTGCAGGGTGTAAAAAGCCCAGTGCCGGCGGTTTTAGGGGGTGAGCAAGCAGGCTCCCGGCCGTCGATATCCAGCGACTGCAATGATACGTTGGTGGCACACTTGGCCAGCGTATCAGATAATGCCACAAGCAACATAGAAAGCGCAGCAGTAGACCCCTTTAAACGT